ATATAATATTTCGGGTTTGCGCATTTATACCGTGAAATTGAAAAAGCTGAGAGAAAAAATATTTATTATATTTTGAAAGTTTTTTTACTTTTCTCCTGGTTCATGATATTTTTTTGCCGGAAACCATGCGTATAGTTTCTATTGCAATGACTTCAAAAAGTATAGCCATCTTGTCCCAACGAAAAATACGCTGTATTTTCTTTAAAATTGAGGTTTTAACCAGCTGTCTATTAAATAAGCATAGTTAGATCATAAAAAATAAAACTTGGCGGTAAAGGTTTTTCTGTTTTTCTTCTTAAACAATATAGTGTTTAATATTTTTTCGTTAGGCAACAAGGTTTTTAGATCGTTTCAAAAAGTATAGCCGTTTTGTCCCAACGTTCGCAAAACGTAATTGTTGTCATGCTCTAGTTTTTAATTTTATATCGTTATTATTTGTTTCCAGTTTAATTCGAATGAAAATAAAAATACATGTACAAATTACAATACAACCAATGTATGAGAAAGGAATAGTTTAAGTTTAAATTCAAATGTTGACCAAATAAAATCGATATAAAAAAAAATATCGGGATCTTAGGGTTTTTTTTTATAGCATATTTGTTTTATATAAGGAACATTGTCTATCTGCAAGTTTTAAATCGTCAAAAGTAACATGTATATGTTTTTGTTGATAAAATAAAATAGAGAAAACCCATTGGTGGCAATTATAACAAACAAAGGATATGCCACAAAAATACGGAAATGAGAAAATTTAAAACATGAGTCCCGAATGTTTAACTTCCTAAATATTTTGCGACAAAGAAAGCATCGGGAAATGATAAAATATAGAAAGGAAACGGAAACGGGAAGAAACGCAACAAAAGGAATAAATATGCAAAAAATAGGAGAATATGAATTCAAAATCTAATTTATATTAAAAATAAATCTGTGTAAATTTGGACATAATTGTATCGGATTCATTAATGCGAACTGCTGCCGAAAGGATAATTATCAATTATGGCCTGGAAAGACTGACAACTCCTGTAAATGAATTTCATTAAAAAAATATCTATACGACCACTTTGAGTTTTATTTGTAAATTTATGCATTTTTTCAGACAAACCGAAATCGGTTACCAAAATCACAACAGTAAATTGACATCATCAATAATATGCTTGAACGCCTGAAACTTTCTTTGAAATCGTCGAAATCGCCTTATTTTGAGGAACGTCGTGAAACGCTAAGTAGTACCAACATCGTGCGCAACGTCTATACAATATTTCAACGTGTGTCTAGAAAATAGTCAGTGTGAGTAAATATAAAAGCAAAGTTCTAAAGACCTGCCATTAAACATAAGGGATATTTATTTTCAAGGCATCCATCCTTTAACCTCTTTTTTTTTTAACTTTATTAACCTTGAACCTCTAAATCCAAAACCCAAAATCTTAGAAACAATTTACTCTTACGAATTCTCTTCAATGCATATCAACGGGTGTATTTATGAAATCTATTGTAATGATATGTGCAACTTAATAAAATGTTAGTTTTGAACTTTCGTCCATAAATACACAATATAAGCAGCATGTGTCGATGAGATCCATAAATCGTAATTAGTTATAAGAACGACATGTTGGTTAAAGTTTAGAAAATAATATCAGCTGTAATGGAAGAAAGACAACTCTATAATTCAATTGGCTATAGTTGCTTATTAATTTACATGGCAGTTTAAAGTCTTTTCTGTTCTTGGCACAGACACATTCTATACCCGTTTAATGTTTAAGGAATTGCATGTATGTTATTAATATATCAATGCAATATAAAGCTTCCAAACTGAAAAGTATTCATGTTATTTGTATATATCTCAAAACTCCAATACGTGGATACATCTACAGTACACAAACTTCACAATAAACAGTCATGTAGAAAATAAATGACATTGTGTGTCACGGACAAACTAGCCATGAATATAACCTCTTCATTTTCTTTCAATAATTAAATTTCAGATCTAACGCGGCGTCAGCACCCTTGCTATTGCGTGCTATATTTTCAACAAATGTATATCTATATACAAAACAAAACCGATTTTACTTTAACCTTGGTTGATATTATTCATGACAATTAGCAGTCGTGTATATTGAATGTAAATTACAAAATGTTGTCCAAATTCAAGTTTAAAACCGAACATTGTTTCATATTTTAAAGAAAACAATTGAATCCGATTACGTTTAAAAAGAAACCTTTTGACAGGCTCTAACAATAGATTTAGGTTTATCATCAGAGAATAGAGGGAATTTAATTCTTTTAAATATGTACAAACACGAAAATGTTTTACAGTTTAAACACATTTTCGACTTATTAAGTTTCTTTCCTTTGCATTAATATAATGGTTATTTAACCTCGCTTTGAAATCAACACTTGATATGAATTAGTTTATTATTCAACTGTTTAAACGTATTGAAGTATTTACATTTCATGTTAAGATATTTATGATAATACTGCTTTGATAAGATGTAAAACTATGCATGAGAAAACTTATCGGCGCAGACTTATAATAATTATGAAATGGTTATATATTTTATATATCTATATATCAAATATGAAGAGAGGGTTGATACATGTCCATTCTCAACCTGGAATAAAACTCATTGTAAATATGTAAATAGTGTACCTTTTTGTTGCATAGCCCCCCCCCCCCCCCCCCCTAGCTTAACATTTTTCTTGAAGTCTCCAGATTTGTGTGTCACGTATTTACTAATTGTGTCTCTACGTTTTGTCAATGTATGTAAATGGTAAGTTTCTGTTGATGGGAACATAATCAAGTGCATATCTTACTAAGGAAGAGGACAAATTTTAAATCATACATGCAGTATTCGCGATCGATTCCGAAGTTCGTTTTAATCTATTTTATAGGAATGCTGTTTATGATATTTAATTTATTATATAGCCAACAATATGTAAATATTTTATCATTTCAAATATCACAAATGGAGTAATGTATGCAATACAGTTTAATATTGTAGACGACTTTTAGAATTTGAGAATGTGAAAAAAATTTCAAGCTGAAAGTTTCGTATGAGAGGCCAGGGATACCAAGGGGATAATTGTAACATACATGTATTAAACAATCATGATCACCTAAAGTGAGCAGTTTTTGAAATCTTATGTCTGTTAATTAAAGTACAGTAACTAAACAATTGAAGTTCGAATCAATAACTGAAAGTTTGAAGTCTAATTTTGGAAAACTAGTATTAGTCTTTGATGAATATCCAAAGAGAACTTATGTATATATAACTACGACACTCAAAAAATAATAAGCCGAAGAAAAACAAACAAAACCATTACCAAAAAGGAAAAACCACGAAAAAACAAACAAAACCATTACCAAAATGGAAAAACCACGCAAAAAACAAACAAAACCATTACCAAAATGGAAAAACCACGCAAAAAACAAACAAAACCATTAACGAAAAAACAAACAAAACCATTACCAAAAAGGAAAAACCACGAAAAAACAAACAAAACCATTACCAAAATGGAAAAACCACGAAAAAACAAACAAAACCATTACCAAAATGGAAAAAACCACGCAAAAAACAAACAAAACCATTACCAAATTGGAAAAACCACGAAAAAACAAACAAAACCATTACCAAAAAGGAAAAACCACGCAAAAAACAAACAAAACCATTACCAAAATAGAAAAACCACGCAAAAAACAAACAAAACCATTACCAAAATGGAAAAACCACGAAAAAACAAACAAAACCATTACCAAAATGGAAAAACCACGCAAAAAACAAACAAAACCATTACCAAAATGGAAAAACCACGCAAAAAACAAACAAAACCTTTAACGAAAAAACAAACAAAACCATTACCAAAAAGGAAAAACCACGAAAAAACAAACAAAACCATTACCAAAAAGGAAAAACCACGAAAAAACAAACAAAACCATTACCAAAAAGGAAAAACCACGCAAAAAACAAACAACAGTCTACAAAACACTACACAGATAACCAAAGAACGAACAAAACGAACTCCACCAAAAAAATAACAAAAAAAAAACAGGGGTGACCTCGGGTGTTTAGAAAAGGTCAGCCGAACTCTGGCTATTAGTGACACTCGCCGTGTTGTCCTTGGTAAAAATACATTTAATTGTAATATCAGATGAATTATGCATCATATAATAGCCGATTGTGGTATATGAGGTAGCAAAAAAGGAAGGCCTCCCAAACATGCAGTCAACAACTTCCTTATATTGGTGAACACATTTAACTGAGCTCGCACTGCAACTTATTTTTTCCTACTAAAAACTACAAATATAAAAACGCATATTTCAAGATTTCAGTTATTTCAGGCGTCCTTAACGACCAATCGAATTAAAAATGGACCAGTCGTCTTATCCCTTGTCGCTACTTGGCGATACATTTTAGTTCATACTCCAGCATCTAAATTATGACGATATGAATGTTTACATTCAACAATGAGAATGTATTGGTTATCTTATATATACATGAAAAAAACACTTAAATTTTATATTTTAATATACAAAATAATACAGGAAATAATTCATATATGTTCCACCATTCACCGATTTTTTTATTATATCTAATGAATAGCAGCTGTCGGTGCAAGTTTTAATTTCATTGGGTGACCTACTGCTAATTTCGTTACGCGGACTGACCGCTGCGGTGATTGTTTTTTCTCACTTTGGGAGGACTTTTTCTTTGCTATTTCTTCGCCTATTTTCTCAACAATATCCCTCCTCTTCATGTACATCAACGTGTTTGTTAAATCGTCGAGAGTTGCTCTAGTATGAACACGACGCCATCTTAATAATGCTTGTTTTGCCTGAACTTCCTGATTCTCACGCATGAAATTTGTTATGATGTCATCTATGTCAACTCGCAAGTTTTCTTCACCCCTTGGGGGATGAAAAGGTAACATACGATAAAGAGGAACCCATTCCTTCTCTATGGACTGTGCAACTACACGACATGCTTTCTCCAGTTTATCTGTAAAACAATGAAACATTTCTTATAAATTAACATCAATTCATTTTCATCTCAGCACTTGTATTTTCTTATTTAGTTAATGATATAACGCATCTCATTACAAAAATAAGAAGATGTGGAACGAGTGCCAATGAGACAACTCTCCACAAGAGAGCAAATGAAGTAGAAATTAACAACTATAGGTCACCGTACGGCCTTCAGTGGGCTAAATCATACCACATAGTAAGCTATAAAAGGCCCCGAAATGACAAATGTAAAATAGTTCAAACGGGAAAACTAACAACTATACATGTAGGTCACCGTACGGCCTTCAATGAGCTAAATCATACCACATAGTAAGCTATAAAAGGCCCCGAAATGACAAATGTAAAATAGTTCAAACGGGAAAACTAACAACTATAGGTCACCGTACGGCCTTCAATGAGCTAAATCATACCACATAGTGGGCTATAAAAGGCCCCGAAATGACAAATGTAAAATAGTTCAAACGGGAAAACTAACAACTATATATAGGTCACCGTACGGCCTTCAGTGAGCTAAATCATACCACATAGTAAGCTATAAAAGGCCCCGAAATGACAAATGTAAAATAGTTCAAACGGGAAAACTAACAACTATAGGTCACCGTACGGCCTTCAATGAGCTAAATCATACCACATAGTGGGCTGTAAAAGGCCCCGAAATGACAAATGTAAAATAGTTCAAACGGGAAAACTAACAACTATAGGTCACCGTACGGCCTTCAGTGAGCTAAATCATACCACATAGTAAGCTATCAAAGGCCCCGAAATAGCAAATGTAAAACAGTTCAAACGGGAAAACTAACAACTATAGGTCACCGTACGGCCTTCAATGAGCTAAATCATACCACATAGTAAGCTATAAAAGGCTCCGAAATGACAAATGTAAAATAGTTCAAACGGGAAAACTAACAACTATAGGTCACCGTACGGCCTTCAATGAGCTAAATCATACCACATAAGTAAGCTATAAAAGGCCCCGAAATAACAAATGTAAAATAGTTCAAACGGGAAAACTAACAACTATAGGTCACCGTACGGCCTTCAATGAGCTAAATCATACCACATAGTAAGCTATAAAAGGCTCCGAAATGACAAATGTAAAATAGTTCAAACGGGAAAACTAACAAATATAGGTCACCGTACGGCCTTCAACGAGCTAAATCATACCACATAGTAAGCTATAAAAGGCCCCGAAATAACAAATGTAAAATAGTTCAAACGGGAAAACTAACAACTATAGGTCACCGTGTGGCCTTCAATGAGCTAAATCATACCACATAGTAAACTATAAAAGGCCCCGAAATGACAAATGTAAAATAGTTCAAACGGGAAAACTAACGACCTGACAAAACAATAAACGAAAAAACAAATAAGACACTCAGCAACAAACATCTAAATAACAAACTCCTGACCTGGGACAGACACATACAGAATGTGACCGGGTTAAACATGATTGTGAACATTCATCCCACCCCTTTTTCTAAAAAGAAATAGAACAGGATATTGATTTTGTAAAAATGCTTTCAACGAAACATTTTATAGGAATTGTATTCCAATGGGGACTACATGTACCCTTCTTTTGAAAGATTTATTCCTGTACTGTCATGACTCATAATTTCTAACAAAACTTCAAAAAGACCCAACTAAACAACACCCCTGAATATTAGGTATAGTTCTAACAAAACATGCAAACGAGTTAATTGTAGATATTAACTATGTCCATTGATAGACCTTGATACTAGAATATTTCATGTTAATCTCCCTACAAAAAATAATGATAAATGGGACACTTTTCATTATAAATAGTTAATTTTTCTTTCCTTGAAGATGATGTTCCTTTGATTCATGGGGTAGTTCAGTTAATTCGATATGTTCTTGTTTTCAGTGACACCTCGGATTTCAATGAACAAACTATTTACACGACTAAAATGCTTTTACAGCAAGCAAACATATATCATAAATTAGTCATTTGTTTACATAATAGTAGTTCTTTAATCTAGAATTTTATTGTCAAAATACGATTCCAAATACACGAATTAAAAAAAAAGGGATGTCATACCGAACTTTTTTACGGTAATATCACTTATAAAGCTAAACGCAAACAAATTTAAAAATAGTCCTGCAAATCTCTATATTTACTACATAGACTAAGTATGTTATCCTTTGTTGTTGAAAATAATATAACATCATCAGCATATAACAAACAGTTGAGTTTACTATTTTTAAATATTGCAATACGAACAAGCATCATTTAAAATATTTGGCAAGTCATTGATACAAATTTTAAACATATTTGGACTAAGATTATCTCCATGTTTAACTCCAAACTCTGATTATAAAGAAGATTTTAAATTAATTCGTCACTTACTCCAAAATTCAGTATTAAAAACATCAATATACATATTCTTTACAATTCAACAAAAATACCCCCTTATGCCTATTTTCAACAATTTTAAAAATACAAATTCGTGAATAACTGAATCAAATGGGTTTTTTTTAAATCTACTAAACATGTATATATATATAATTGACCATTTGACGTATATTTTCTATTAATATTCTGCAAATAAACTTGTGATCAGCAGTGCGATCTTTGTTTTGGACACCAATCTGAGTTTCTGATATAATACTAAATGTGTCTAAATAGTGATTTAATCTGTTATTAAATAAATCTATCCTTAACGGCATATTAAATACCGTAGTAAGATCTTTGAATATTGTTTTTATCTGTACTAATATTGAATTTGTTTTTGCCGATGAATTGAAACATAAGTACATATGTATTGTTTTACATCTATGAAATCTTATGTTCCTACATCCTGTCAATATTAGGGCTAATATTTTGGAATTGCACAAGGTCATACATTTCTAAGACTGTGTATGGCGTCTTTACACCGTAAATCCGTTGGATATGTACGGATTGATAATTTAGTCTGAGAGAACATGATTAATAAATTAGTTGTTACATTGTATTAGCAAAATTAAGCGATTTAAGATAATGTTCGAATGTATTATACTTTACACTAAATAGATAGATAAGATTCGTGTATATACGACATAATATGTGTACTTGTGTAACTGACAGATTTGTCTGTTAGAAAATCATTGATAAAAAAAAAAATGTTAGATGCAAGCGGCATACAAACACCTAATTACTGGCTATAGGTAATATAGAAACAATATAACTTTTTTCTGCATCTCTCCGATTGACATTGCAATACGATGGATTTTGTAATCTTATAGATTTTGATCTATGTTACATTGTATCTAGCTGTCGTCCTGATTGTACGAATAGCAGGTAATATGATGTGTTACGCGATTTTGTTAACAATAAAGGGACACAGAGTCATGCATGTATTAGCGGAGTTAGCTTAGTACTTAGTCATGCAGGCATTGTTAGTTTGGTGTTTTTTTTTACCTGAATACACCATCACTGGTGATGGCGTGGTTAAACTCGGGCTTTCTGAAATATCTGTAAAAAAGTAATCACATACCACCGAATGAATATTAATTAACTCTCTAGAGAACCAACGAAGTGATTAAGCTTTTGAATTCAACATTTAACCTCTTTTGAATATTTACATGAACAACAGACAAAAGAAAGCATATAACTGTATATTAAACAATTAATGTTTTTCCTTATATCGTAATAAATGTAACTGCAATCACAAATTTTGCAAAACATCAGCTGCGTGTCACAATGTGATTTGTTTTGGCTACTATAAACCAGACACCGATCTGAAAAAAAGCTTCATACATATTGAGTAGAGCATCTGATATCCAGAAGAATTGTCAAACGTATCAATGTGGGATTGAACAAGACGACTGAGATAAGTCTGGGCCAAAGTTAGTACATAAGAACAGGTCAAACATCTTTGAAGTCACAAATTGAAGAAATTGGATTTTACTATAAGCTGAAAAGAATGATACAGGGAACACAAAAGTCTGTTCCCTGTTTGTTATTTTACAAATTTGTAACGTCTAAGTACCCAAAATTGCACCCATTTAGCAAAAATAGCAGCGGAAATCTTACAAGTTTTCTTCGAGACTAAACAATTTGTATTTACATGATTTGACATTATGCACGTCTTTCAACATAGGTAAATATATTTAAATATACACTAAACGTTCACAGTATATATCAACGAATGAAGTATTTACTGGAAAAAGTAAAATCTACGCATGCGACGTCCACAAAAAGTCAACTTATGAAAGTGAGCAATTAGAATATGTTACAGGCATCAATTTCTTAAAAAATAAATAGTAAGGATGGACTAGTATCAAATTGTTCCAAATATTTGGCGAACTTGAATAAAACAAAACATCTGTTATTCGATTTTTACGGATGTGAATTTAAGCATGGATGCAATTTGGGAACTCCTCATTACATAATCATAGTTCTTTTGGAGGTCGTTTCAAAACCATATTTCTATGATTCAACATGGGATCTAAATTAAATTGGTTGAACTATATAGTAAATAAGGATACATCTATCTACAAAATAAACACAGCATGGAAATTTTTGTCTGGATCATAAATAGACGTAGGTGAAAAAAATTATCAAAATAGGTGCAATTTGGGTACACTTACGTTTTATTCCATAGGTTTATTTACGGAGGGAGCCAACGTAAAGGAGGTCAGAAAAGATTAATTCTAAAATAGTATATCATATTAAAAAGCATAACTGTATAGCCTTACCTAATGTGCCTTTTCGTTTGCCTTTTTTGTTTTTACTATGACTTAGTGGCATATTGTAAAATAATTTCTTTAGCACCTCAGGACTAGTTTTATAACGATGAATTTCGCGAAGTTTTAGAACAGCATTTTGAAGTCTCTCATTTTCTTTCTCCCGTTTTCTTAATTCTTTGTCTGCAGCTGTGAAATCAGCCGTGATTTCTTTTAATTGCTCCTCGCGTTTGTGTTTCAATTCCCGTCGAAATCTTAGAAATTCTAATTTTCTTTTAATATCATCAGCTTTTCTCTCCAAGCCGGGTTGTTTTGTCTTTAAACTTTCTAGTTCACTAATTAAACGATCATATTTTTCACGTTCTTTCTTTGTTGCATACTGAAGCACTTTTTTCCTTTCTTCTTTCCGAATTTCTTTCACCTCGATGTCCATATCTATGTCTCTTAGCTCTTCAAGTATACATTCTTCTTGAGATTTTAGCGATTTTTCTTTATTTGCCAACCGTCTTAATTCACTTACACATTCACTAATATCTCTCTTACAAACTTTACGTCTGTGGTCGAGAGCTGAACACTTAACTTGAAGATCTCGTAAAGTCCGTTGAACTTCATCACGTTCTTTCTCCTTTTCAACAATGTCTAGTTGAATATATGTAGAATAACTATCGTCCTCTTGTATCCATCTACGCACTTCCGCTACACTGTCTTTGACATTTTGAACGGCTTGTATAAACATGAACAAATATGGCGCATATTTAGCTTCCATGCGTTCAGCATAACCACGAGCTACGGAACCAAAGTCTGACAACTTTATTCCATTTTCAGATTCAAATTTGTCAGCCATAGCGGAAATATCTGTTAAATTTGTACTAACAGCAAGAACAAATTCTTTTCTTGTTTTTTCATAGTTAATGGCGGTCTCTAGTAAGGAGTCGGCCTTCACACTACAAAAGCTTAAACAGTATTTCTTCATGAAATTTAAAATAAGTGACATACTATCTACGACTTCTTCAAAACCATTTCGTAAAAAATTAAGAATTTTATTTACACAATCCTGTACCATTCTAACCGATTCCATATCGAATTTGACTTCCATGGTTGGATCACCAAGAGCCTGCTCATAAGAATCAAACAAGTCTTGAATATCTACTTTGGTTAAGATTACTGGTTTCTTGATGTATCGCATAATCGTTTGTATCGATGGTAGATACTTCCGTATTTCTTCCTCGTAACGTTTATCAGAACCACTAAACGAATTTTCTAGACGTATAAGTCGGTATTCGATTCTTTTCAGACCCAGCTCAACCGATTCATAAAATCGCTGTAGATCTTGAGGTCGTTCCAACGACAGTTGATCAATAGTCTGTTTCTTTCGATTAAATGCTAAATGGGTTGTCGGAGGCATTATGTCTGTAGTCTATGTTGTCAAATCATTTGCTT